GTACAATGCAGCACACCACCATATTAGTTAGTGCTCGTGCATTCTCAAGGGGCTCTTTACAAAAATCCACCTTTGAAAGACGTAAGTGGAAACCAATTAAAAGAAATCAACGTGTAAGTCATTTTAAATGAGTAGACTGAAAATAAAATATGATTCCATTTTTATGACCCATTTAGTTTTTAATAGCTGTGAGTGAGCCAACCTCTGCATGCACCAGTTTCCAGTCACCAAAAGTGAACAGAGCCAAGCAGCCTATGAGAAAGGGAGGGGAAGCTGTGGCTATCCAATGATGCATAAAATGTCGGTGTGTAATAGAGAAGATTTTGGCTGGATTTGTATGTTTTTATTAGGTAACTAAATATTTAACTGTCACAGAGATAATACATGTTTTTTCCTTGCAGACAATGAGCAAATAATCCAGTGTAATCTGTCCTGCTGTTTACCAGGTGATTTAACCTCAGTGGCTGTAATTCCACAGCAGGACCATATCAAATGAATCCACTCTCTGTGTGATATTATGGCTCCATTGTTTTTCCTCTGATGTCTCTCGCTATAAAAGCAAATGAGAGGATTTCCAGCTGGGGCACTGCCAAGTCTGTGATAGCTGTAAATTCACAGGCACAAAGTATTTCTATGTCATTATAATTAAAAGCTTGTTGGTAAATTAAAACAGCAGTTTGCTGTTTCCTGGTTGGTTTAAATCAAAGCTCATTAGGTCAGACTGTGATTAGGCTGACAACCTTCAGACAAGTGCCTGAGCTGTAAATAACATGGCCTCTGTGTGTGTGTGTGTGTGTGTGCGTGCGTGCGTGCGTGTGTGTCTGCAGTCATATTTGGTTTATATGAGATCAATGTCATTTATAAAAATACATTTAAAATATAATCATTTACCTATCAAATATACTTCGTTACGTCGATACGTTCTAACAGACCCTCCCTACTAGTCAGTCATTTAACCTGTTGTGGCGTCATTAACACATTTGTTGACATCACATGAGTTGTTGACCCACCCGGCCATCATGTGAGTACAGAAGTGGACAAAGTACACAACTTCATTACTTGAATCAGAGTATTGCCTCCTTCCAGCAAATGTTATGATATTGATAATGTTTATTAGGATTAAATGTCAGGAATTGTGCAAAACTGGGTTTAAATGTATTTGGTTATTATCCACACAATTCATTTTTGTAAGATTTAAAATTCTCTGATAAATTTAAAAAGATGTGTATGGTCATGAGAATCAACTCAAGCTGTGAATGGTTTAATGACAGTAAGAGCTCATGTTCTCTTAAAACTGTTAAAATGCTAAAAAGAAAAAAAAAGTATTTAATTTGTATTTAATTCATTCCATGTTTATTTCATTGTTATTGATAAAAAAAATTAAGCCACAACAATTTTATCAATGATCTACAAAGTGGTCTTCATCTGCTAGTCGGCGATCGATTGTTTTTGTCTCCGCCCACGTTACCTAGGCGAAACCTGCTGCGGTAGTTCCTGTTATTGTTCGGAAATAAACGTTCACTGAGAAAACTTCACTCTCGTGATTATTGTTGATTGGTTTTCTGACAGTTTTATGAAGAGTGTAACATGCGAACTTGAGGTAAGAAGAACAGGGAGCGCCGCAGCAGGCAGGAGGAATGCAGGAAGGAAGGAGTGAAGCGCCACGGGAGCTCGTTAAAGAAGGTAAGCTACATCCGGTAAAATACTGTAACACTCAGAAGAGAGGTATTTATGTTGGTTCTGATACTTTTTTTTGTTAAATATAGTCTGTATATATGTCAAAAACAGTGATGTTAGCAAGCCTCAAGCTCGGACCACATGTGGCTATGAGCTAACAGTAGCTAACTGTTAGTGCAGCAAGGTCTAATCAGGGGAGAATCACCTTATGTTAGAGCTGTAGCTTAAAAAGCTGCGACAGCTGCACCTTCTGAAAGACAGTGTGTCAGCTTTCCCATGGGTTTTAAGAGGTTGACTTCATAAATCCTGCGAGGACGCCTGCGATATCTGCCAAAATTCTGTCAGTCATCTAGCTAGGATGAAAATATTGTTATCATATGAAACAAGACGATCTAAGGAATCCATTTGTACAAAGCCTGCCATGGTATATTTCTGGCATGTTGGTTACATAATGTTCCAAAGTTAGGCAAAATTTTGGAGATGGAAAACATGGCATAGCTATTTTGAGGTGGGTCCTTTGACGTCTCATCACAAGATGTGAATGAAAATGGCTTCTGTGGTACTGACGGGTCTCCCCTCTGCAGACACTTTATGTTAGTATCATGCAGTCTGGGCAAAAACCATGCATTTTATGCATGCAGTATAAATATGTTGTTTTTTAAACCCTATCCTATAATGGTATATTAGATTATTTCTGCATATTGTGACCTTAAAAAGTCCTGGAGTTACATAAAGTGGGTATGACTGGAAAGCTGAGACTCCTGTGGATCCAATGAGCCTAATTGTAGGCATGTACACTCATCTTAGACCCCATAATAGCTGTTTCATTGTAGTGAGCCATTTAGACCTTTATGAGACAATGAAATGATAAAATTAGCTAAGAACAATTTAAAAAAAAAAAAAAAAAAAAATTCTACTTTTATGTAATTTTACAAAATGGAGTAGCCAGCTTGAAATTATAAAACAGACATGCTCAGAGTGTGCAACCCATCAAACAAGAACCAGACCCTGGCTCACCCAGAGATGACAAAGACGGTAACTGAATCATTGTTATTTTAGTGCACAGTTCTTTTTTTCTTTTCTTTTGTTTTAAATATATTCTTAAATTACATCACATTATCATGATGACCTTAAAGTGGTCTTAAAAACCCTAACTCTTTAATTTAAGCTGTTAAAACCTCTACAACACCAAGATAGAAGCATAGTGCAAAGACTGGACATTGACTGTTTCCCTGGTAAAAATGTAGTAAATAGTTTCCATTGGGCACAACGCTGTTGTATGTAAGAATTAATTTGTAATTTGTGCTTTCTTTTATTCTTGCAGTTTACATCATGTGCTGTGGTACAGTGGATGGATGGACATCAGTTGAGAAAACTAAGGTCATCACATGAATCACATGTCACTTATTTCTGAAGAGATCACCAATGTCACAATTATTGTCAGGTTTATGATCCCATTGCCATTCTGTTCAAAATGAATGTACTTTATGAAGCATTGCTTTATATTGGGTTAACATTAATAAAGGGCTGATTTGTTTTAGCTTGATTTGTAAGTGTCCTTGATTATTATTATTTTTAATTCATATGGGGCACCTTGATAAAACTAATGCAGTATAATGGAACAGGCCTGCAATACATCCTCCTTAATGAGGATTATAATGTTTGGTATTTACTGAATCTGTTTGAAAAGTGTTGGTTTATTTTAATGGTCAAAGTGTTCCTAATATAATGTCAAATCAAATTCATGGGATGGACAAAATATTAGGAACACCTCTCAGTATACAGTTAGTTTATATACAGTGGTGTCCAAAAGTCTGAGACCACTTTCCCATCACATATATTTACAAAGGAGAATAAAAGAAGCAATTAAAAACACTATCTATTTTAGCAGGGTATCTCCCTTAAGTGTCAAGTTGTTGTGCCTCACCTATTTCTCCTAGGGAAGTTTTGGAGAATCAGACAAAATAGAAACTAAAGTGAGACTGAAATGAGAATCACTGTTTTGTCTCCTCTGAGCTGTAGAAGAGCAAGCTTTGAGCAGTAAAATTGTATCTCCCTTAAGTCTCAAGTATGACTCCTGCTGCTAGAGAAGAGCAAACTTTGAGCAGGAAAATTTTGGATCTTCTGCCTCATTTTTATCTAAAAGACATGACTGACAGTGTATGAGTTGGCTGTGGCTTTTTTTCTTCTGTGATGAACACAGTGTATGGTCTATCACATTTTCCAAAAAAATATAAAATAAATTCACTGACTAAAAGCTCTTCTTCAAAGTAAGAGTTCTTCATAGCAATGTAGTGGAGTCAAAAGTACAATATTTGTCTTTTAAGTGTGGTGGAGTAGAAGTAAGAAGTTTACAAAATAAAAAAAACTGAAGTAACATACAGATACTCCAAAAATGTATGTACAAAAGTATAGTACTCACGTAAATGTACTTTGTTACTGTCCACCCCTGTATGAGTAGTGAGGGAGTCATGAGTCATGGTCTGAAAGAGTGTCAAGCTGCTTGGGGAGGGATCTCAGGACTGCATTGTAAGTGGCTGATAAGTGGTGTTGTAGACCACCTCCTCTGTTTGGAGGTGGTCTACGTGTGATGATGATGTAGGTGTCTTCTTTTACTCCTTTTTCCAAACCATCGGTCTTCAGCGACTAAAATCTCCTCAGGTGAGAGTCCCTTGACCTTTAGGTGGACTGCTGAGTCCTGACCTCAGGACTTGACTCTGCACTTGTGAAGTGGTTGTTTTGTTTTCCCAGTGTTCAGGTCTGTGTGTCCCTCACTACACTGCGCTGGTTATTCCTGGGTGTTTGGTCCTTAGTGTGGACCAGCTTCTGTCTCAGACAGTTACTGGGCTTGAAGTGCACAGGGATTCTGTGGTTGTTAAAGTTTTTCAGATACTCCAGCAACACAGGGGATAACAGTGTTGTTCTGTTTATTACTGTTACTGTTTTTGTTGAAGGCCCAGTTTTGGAAACCACAGGTTTAAAGAGCTGCTCTGATGTTTGTTCTTTTTAAAGTCCAACATAATGAATCACTGTCCAACACTTTAAATTACAGGTTGTCATTAAAGCACACACACAGTATTGGACTGAGTGTATTGGGGACTGTGTACGTATGTGTGTCTCCATATTCTCTGCCCTTGTGAATTATGGTCGGTGTCACTCAGCACATTGTATTCCAAGGCAGAGAGTGGTAATATATGACTCACTGTTTCTGTCTCTGCAGGCAATGTGCACACACCTCCAAGCAATCAAAGGTAAAGTAATAGCAATACATTAGCAGAGTGTGAAGTTATGAACGGGATTGTAAATATTGAATTTTTCCTTACTTTGTTCTCTCTAGTGGGATGAACTGAAACGAAAAGTGATGTTATTGTACAGAAAATAGTCTGGTTTCATTGGAGAGCGCATGTGGAAAAAGGTAAGCACTCAGTTATAATATCCTGCTGTGTCAGTCTGGATCCACATTCGTATAGTATTTATGTAGTTATTAATTTCTCAGCTGTTATCATCAGGAGAGCAACAAAAAATCATGTGTGTTGCATCTCAGCTTTTTCATGGCATGACATTTATATAACTATGTTAGTGTGTGTGTGTGCACGTTTCCTGTAACACAACCCCACCCTTCGCCCCTCGCCCAGCGCTTAACCCTCAACCTCAACTGTCTGTTTTATATGTGTAACATTTAGAAGAACTAAGGACAGAGAGCTTCATCACCCTGAAACTCAAAAGTACAAAGCTTTTATTGTGACAAGCTTAAAATTATGCTATGACGCACTTAAAAGTGTAACTGGTCAGTTTCAAAAACTCAGTTGCCACAAGTATCAAGGCACATGGTAGCTTCGTCTCTTTAATTGACAGGAGGTGATTCCCTCAATCTGCTATATTGTTGGTTTCTTATGAACAAAACTAAAAAATGAAAACAGTCTCTTGAACATTAAAATATACAGAGTGGTTTTTATTATACAAGCAAACCATCAGACAACTGCCAAGATTCTGTTTTTGGTGTTTTGCCACTTAATTAATGGTAATGAGCTACAGCTGTACAGCCCTCAGGTCTACCTACTGTTCTACTGACTAGTCTTCAAAGAAGAAGCTAGTGGACTAACCCTCTGGACTTGGATTAGATTACACAATGCAATATATGGTCATCACAGCAGTATAGTGCCAAGTAGCAATATACAGCCAGCATGAAACCATTTTTCTGACTAAATAATACATATAGTTTTTCTTTTCTATGCACAAATCGGTGGAACTGTATGATTGGCTCATATATTATATATGAGCCAATCATATAGACTTTGATTTATTCATGTGTTGTTTCCTTTGAAAAGTAAATAGTTCTCTGAAACCCAGTGGTATAAAAAAAAGTTCTGGATTTCCCATGCAAACAAATATTTATTGTTGCCACCCAGTTCCATACATAAATATTAAGAGGCAGAGTTCCCATATGGGTGCATTTACACTGCATACCAGGAAGTAGGAATCCTAAACAGACATGTTTTCAGAGGGCCAGAAATCAATGCCATCTGAAATCACATAGCCGATCACAACCAAGCTTTCCTCTGATAGAAAACTCCAACACAGCTGCCAAGTCTAAAGCATCCCTGGCTCCCAGGCTACTGGTGCATAATTGGTGGTAGAAAGATGGAAAAAAAACAGCTGGAACACAGTGCAGTGCTAGGTTTTGTTTCGGGACAGTCTTCGAGTGTACTTCAGAGGTTGTCATAGTTTTCTCATCAGCAACAAAATCACAAATGTTAGTGAAAGAAAGCTGCTCCTACCTCACAGACTGCTGTTATGAGCCCGCAGGGAGGCTGTGTGTGTGAGCATGAAGCTCTCAGTACACTGCTGACTGCTGGACGATGGTGACCTGCGAGGTGAGTGCTGAAAACGACTCCTTCTACTGAAGTAGCTGCCAGCTGTCCAGGAGCGCTTGTGCTTCCTCATGTACTCCTTGTAGTTTTTGGTGAGCAATGTGTAGAGGAAAGGGTTGATACAGCTGTTGGAGTAGGTCAGACATGTGGTCAGGTAGTTGATGATGCGCTTAGCTTTGGTGGAGAGGGACAGTGAAGGGTGGAACTGACCCAGCAGCTGCCAGATCCAGAATGGCAAGAAACATGCCCAGAAGAGGAGCACAATGGTGAAGATCAGGTAGAGCACCTTTGGGACATAAGACCAAAGAGAGGAACCATAAAACACATATTTCCTTTAGACCAGTTTTACAATATGATATAAAGAGTAAAGATATGTACTCCTGCAACACACAGTAAACTAGTTAAGCTAGTTGTGAGCTAGTTAACAACATATTTAATTTTGACACTTTTTAATCTGTTACCTGCAGTGGTTGTGATAGCATCAGGTCATATCGACTTATAAATGTGGTCGGGTATACTGAGAAATAGTAGCAGCAAAACACAAAGTTGGACAGTCTACATTCTGTTTTGCTCGGAAGTAAAAGTAATCCCTATGAAGAGCAAGTAATGCAACTGCGGGATAATGTTGGGCACATTGTTAATCACTCTGATAAGACAAAGTGGACCCGTCTTAAATCCTGCTATGAAGCAAATTGCACGAGGAGAGAGCAAGAGAGGAATGGAAAATAGAAAACCTAAAGCAGCAGGGAGAGGACTGATAATGGAACCCTTTCAGCAGAGAGCCAAAGTGATGCTCCACCGCTCATACACTTAAATAGCAACTATTTCTCAGCCATGATGATGGTGTTGTTGGTGAACTTACACCCAAACATGTGCATGCAATAGGTGTGAGAAACAATGTCACAGTCTAAGAGCTACGGGACAGAGGAGCCCACCCCCCCCTCCTCAGGAGTTAGTACACTCTCCATGATAACAACTGAATAACCAGCGTTGGTTTATACATCAGAGCCATCTCTAACTCCCAGCCTATATACCAGGTTCAACCTGATGGATTTTCAGTTGCAGACTGGGTAAGACGTGAAGGACAATGTCTAGTGTGAGAACCAATGACAGAGCCCCAGACCTCCCTTTTAGCAGACATGTCAGAAGTTCTAAAGTCAGATGGAAGAGACTGTGGTTGTTGCATGGGCCAACAAAAGTTTAAACTTTTATACAGTAGACCACTCATAATTTCCCACCTCAAGATTTTTTTTAACCATGACCATGATTATTCCCCCAGTACCCAAACTGTACTCTTTCACTAATCCTGATGAAGTTGTTTCTGTGCCTAAACTAAATCCAAACCATACAACCAACAGTTTTATTTTTACAGTAGAGGTTTTAAAATCTTTGAAATGAGCAGGGAAAACTTAATGACTCTCATAAAATACACTGTCTTGTGATGCACTTACCTTTTGATTGGGAAGTTTCCTGGTCTGTTTGAAAGTCTCTGTCTGTGAAACCCAATAAGTCCGCGCAAGCTGGGTGTAGAGATAGCCAATGATGAGTCCTGGAGCGACAATGCTAGTGCAAAACAGGACGGAGATGTAAATCTTGTAAGAGAGTGGGGACAAGGTGGGCTGACACATGGCTTTGTTGCCCACTGTCATTAGCTGAATGCTCACAATCATTGGTAGGGCCAGGATGAGAGAAGCTGCCCAGGCCAGCAGAGCGATGGCCTTCCGGTAACTTTTAGATCGTTTGACTGTTTCGAGTGGCTTGAGCACTGCAAAGTAGCGCTCCGTGCTCATAATGGTCAGCGTGAAGATGCTGGCATGCATGGTCAGGAAGTCCATGCTAATTAGAATCCGACACCCTGTGTTGCCAAAATACCATCCTTTCAAGAAGTGTGTGCAGACCACGAAGGGGATCGTGAGAAGATACAGTAGATCTGCCAAAGCTAGGTTTATGATGTAGATATACATGGAAGCTACAGTCCTCATGGAATGGCACATGACCACCAAGGTGTAAATGTTTCCCGAGACTCCAATCAGGCACATGATGGAGAGGATGGTGCTGATGGTAAAGGTGGCAGCTGCATCTTCATGGGAGTTTAGAGGGGGGTCAGTGGCATTGGCACCCTTCTCCACAAGGACTCCTATAGGCTCCATGGACACTGTGGTCATTTCTGGATGGATGAGAACAGAAAGTAAAGGGTGAGGGTGGTAACTTCACAGAAAAATGATAATTGTCAATCCGTTCGTCATCTAACTTGGAATGGTCTTTAAACTATTATTTTCTTACAAAAAATTTGGGATATTATAATCAAAGCTACTGTGTACTAGCTTGTTTAATTTCGTTTATAATCTCCATTTATGAGAGAAGCCTCTATGAAAGAACTCTACTAGTACAACATCTGCCATCTTTCAGTTAAAGTACCTTTGCATGTTTACAGGAGTGGAGACCTACCAACTCGCTCACTCAAATTGAGGAATATGAAATGCCTCAGTTTACTCATGCCTTAGAAGGCAGCTCTGATATTTCCTGGCTCATGCCAATTCAATCAAATGTTTTATGTAGAGTAAAACACCATGAAGAACAGTGTGTTCTTGTCAGGCTACGCAAGTTTTACCAAACTGCTAATGAAATGAGATGTTTAGGAACAGTGTCTTTGTCTGACCTAAGCTTGTCAAATGGCTTTTGACATATCGGTTTGGACTGAACATGAACAGTCAGCCACAGCCTGATTCAAAGATAGGTTTCCAAAGCATTTATAAAACAAAATAACAGCAAAATACAGAAGAAATAATAAATATTTCAAAATATTCTGAAGGTTGCATTTTGGTTCAATTTATTTACTTAATACTGGTAAAAAATAGGAAATCTTAACAGTGAAAGAATTTCTGATGGAAATAAGAGTTATAGTTATTGAGTTATCCTCATTCTCTGAGAGTTCACAGGCAAAATGATGCAAGTTGTTAAAAAAAGAGCTAACTGTATCAGAGTTGACTGTTGAAGGAACACAGAGAACATTTTTAGTCAAATTAATACCAAGCTGTCAAGCCTCAGACAGAAATCACTGAGAAAGTATTCTTCCTTAAGCTGTTCCAAAATCACCAGGGGCAGAGATGAAGTCTAAATTTCAGCCTTCACTAATAGACCTGGCTGCCATGCTCTGATAAACACGACAGCCTTTAGTCAATACATGGAAATATATCTTTACGGACAATTACAAATCTGCTTGGGCATGCAAGCGAATTAGAATAAACACATTCAGTATACAGTCTTACCTGGGGTGCCTCCCTGGACAGAAGGGTTCAACACTCAGCTGTTCCATCGGCCATGCTTTGTCTCACTTTGCTCCTCCAAACCTCACACTTACTGCAAATATTTCACACTCTATAAAAGTCCCAACAGATTCTACAGAGTATCTGAGAGGTGAAACATGCACGTGAAACAAAAGGGAAAAAAATCTATATCCAGCAGTGTCGAAGAGGGAAAATAACCTAAATGAGTCATCCACGACAACAGAAATCCCTCCATTGTTGAGTGGGCTCTCAACAGTAAATAAGCCTCTTCAAAGTGTCTAGATTCAAGAGGAAGGTGCTCTTTTAACAGCCTTAAAGAAGATCAATGAAATGATGATGACAACATGTTGAGAAGAGGAACACATTAAGCTACAGCTGGTTACGGAGAATCCCCCCTTTGACTGAGTGAGAGTAACAGAGAGAGAGAGACTGGCAGAGGTAGAGAGGGGAGAGAGAGTGAGAGGGGAGAGAGAGAGAGACAGGAGCACAGTGCTTGTGAGGCAGTCTCACTCTGAAGCCCAAAGTGGGAGGGAGAACACAGGGAGAACGGGTAAGAGAGAGGTATGCAGGAAATGTGCTCTGCTCTCTCTCTCTCTCTCTCTGTCTCTCCCTCTCTCTCTCTCTCTCTCTCTCTCTCTCTCTCCAAACCTTTTGCCATCTATTTCCATTACAACGGGGGCGTGTGCCACAAACTAGGGCGTGTGCCACAAATGTGCAACACTGGGACTTGAGACACATTACACACTGACAGAACGACCCCACTGACACTAACATGCATAGCTAACTCTGACCCATGTGTTCTAGTGTCCATTATTTTAAATGGATAGTACCACAGTCAATGTCACCTACAACTGCAGCAATCCTCCTAAGTACAGTCATCAAACATCATCTGCTGCGGGGGGGGGGGCCTGATCCAAGCTAAACAAGCCTTTGGCCTTGTGTCGCTGCACATACAGGCTACCGAGGGACAATACATCAATAAAGTTGTATGGGAAAGGATCTTTTCTGCTTGTGCTCCTCATATTTCAAATGAAAAATATTAAAATTAAAAACTAGAATCACTTCCTCCTGGTTGTTAAATAAAACAACCAGCCAATAAATAAAGTCACAGTCTCTTCTTCCTGAGTTACAGCATTGAATAATAGCCAGAAGGGTTTTTACAGAACATTATGATGTCACAGTGAAGTTGACCTTTGACCTTTTGGATATAAAATGTCATCACTTCATTTTATCCTTATAAACATTTGAGTTAAACTGTGTCATAATTAGTGTATGACTTTGGGACTTCACAGTGACCTTGACTTTTGACTGAATTTGAATTTGAAGACATTCCTTCAAGGCGTTACTGATGCTACGTCCACACTACTATGTTTTCATTTTAAATCTCATCTCTGTTGCTACATTTTCACCTCCCGTCCACCACACTACTCCGGCGTTTTTTAGCACTGAAAATGGAGACTATTGGAAACGCTGCTGGCCCCATTTTAGTTAGAAAACTCCAGGGTTGGATTGTCGTCTGGATGGGCAAAAGCTGAGACCTTTGGGAACAATAACGCAGACAACCAGGGTCGCTCAAGAGATTCACAGTAAAATTACACATGCATGTAATTTGTGTTTATGTGTTTATGTGGTTATGTGGCGTAATGATGTAATCCAGAGGAGCCAGTCCTGGGCATTTTGAAGACGAAATATATGTAATTGTAGCTGCAGTAATGTTCATCATGCAGTATAAACAGATTTGCCAGATGTTCATCTTCTGGAAATTGTATGATTAAGACATTGTTACCATTGTAATAGTTTGGGTTTACGTGTCTTGGTTGAAGCAATTTAAAGTGTGGAGATAAAGGCAGAAAACTCACGTCCACACAAGCGCTGGTACTTCCACAATACTCGTCGTTATAAACTTCCTACACTTCAACTTTACCAGGCCCAGCTGGACGGCTCTATCTGATCATACATGAACAAAACTGAGGCCACATGTAACCTAAACATTACTTTTGAGCTGAGGTGCAAAAAGAGATAGGAGCTGATCAATGGGCCTCCACTCCTATCAAGGTGCGCAGCTCATCTAACGTGGTCTGATGACTCTTGTATCTAGGCAACACAGCTTAAAGGCACATTTCACAATTTCAACTGTGAGTAGTCTGGAGGAGAATAGCAGAAAGAACCTACTAGCTTTTAAGCTGTCAGTCACACACGGCACAAATGCACAACACATGGTTGGTGTGTATGTTGCCAGCTAGCTACAGCTATCATCTATGCAGTCAGTGCCTTGGCTATTTGAGGGGGAACACAATGTAATAAAATTGTGCAAATAACACATGGTAAAAATTTGCTTCAAGTTTAAGCAGAATGCATGTTTATAAAAATAAAACAATCTGATTTGCTGCTGTGTGTGTGTTGCTTTCAGCTTCTTCTATTCACTGTCTCCTGGCTGGTTTCACTGGGCAGGGGATCAATCAATCAAAAAAAGCATGGGAGACTAACATGAGCATACCAGTCGGCAGCTTGGAAGTATAGTCAGTTCAATCTTCCTTGTATTTGGTTGCTGATATTGCCATTTGAAGTAACAGCCAAGCTCTGAGCCAAATGTTGCTAGTCCAGAATCAACCACAAAGAACCTGCAGAAAATAAATCTCAGTTTTTGTACATAGAGATTGACTCCCGTGGTGTGAAAATAACTGATGGTTTTGGTTTTTATCATCTTGAAATGCTGATGGATCAGTTGGGTGCTTTATTTGAAGACCATTTAAAAAAAAATCAACATCAAACCCGATCCCAAGTCGGAGAAAAATCTGATCCACGAATGACAAAAGATGTTATCACCAGTGGGAGGGTAACGAAAACAGTCTTTCCCAGTGAGCAGCTTGCAATTACATTCAATTCAGCCTGGTGTGACTGCAGCTTTATCCCCCACTCTGTCTGTCATTAGGCATCTAATCAGAGTTGGCCTCCTGCAGATAGAGTTCATACAGAAACACACAGACAAGCCTTTAATGCTCCTGTATATACAACTGTAACCTTTTTAAACTCACAGCTCAGAATGTAATTTATAACAATAGAGGTTCTTTTTGTTTCAGTCAACACATTTAACCACTCAACAAGCCGATAAACTGTCAACCAGTACCCATGTACTATTCATGAAACTGTTAGGATTAGATTTTGTTTTCCCGTGTTCTCTGCTGTGCTCCCTCTGTTGGTCTGTACAGATGGGCGTGGTCTCCTCCTGAACTCCTGTTCCTTCTGAGTCTTCCTCCACACCTCATCTGCATCCAGTCATAAACTCCACCACCTGCTGCAATATAAAGACTGGTTCAGCTCACCACTGTTCTCAAGATTGTTTCATCACCCACAGTGGGATCAAGCTTCTGCCAAATCTTGTTTGTTAGTTGCAGTCTAAAAGTCAAAATGATGTCCTTTCCTAACTACTTTTCCTCGACCTTAATAGAAAACACATGAAGTTAAGGAAAGTTGGAGGGAAGAATTCATAAAGGTTGGGTCTCAACATTGGTAGGGACGGCATAACCACGTCCACACCTCCAGTAAGAAGAGACTGGCTTTTTGATAACATCACCCAAACAGTTTATTAACATATAGGATCTGAATTTACATTCAGGAATACCCATATGCAAATGTGTCATATTCCATGTATGAAATATATGTACGTATGAAGTAAAAATTGCATATGTAACTTGTTAGGGATTGGAACAATGTACTATATATACATAGATATATGTGTAGCGAATAGAAATATGTATTTTGATATGTCTGTTTATATTATAGACATACAGTATGTCAGATAAATATATATGTGAGGCTTAAAAAGTCATGAAAACGACAATGTAGTAAGGCATGAAGAGACATGAGTATAGTAAGATGTAAAAACGTCATAGTGTATATACTAATGCTTAAAAAGCCATAAAACTGTCATAGTATATTAAGGAGTAAAAAGTCATGAAAATGTCATAGTATAGTAAGGTGTAAAAATGCCATAATATAATAAGGCGTAAAAAGTCATAAAAATCGCATAGTATAGTAAGGTGTAAAAATGCCATAATATAATAAGGCGTAAAAAGTCATAAAAATCGCATAGTATAGTAAGGTGTAAAAATGCCATAATATAATAAGGCGTAAAAAGTCATAAAAATCGCATAGTATAGTAAGGTGTAAAAATGCCATAATATAATAAGGCGTAAAAAGTCATAAAAATCGCATAGTATAGTAAGGTGTAAAAATGCCATAATATAATAAGGCGTAAAAAGTCATAAAAATCGCATAGTATAGTAAGGTGTAAAAATGCCATAATATAATAAGGCGTAAAAAGTCATAAAAATCGCATAGTATAGTAAGGTGTAAAAATGCCATAATATAATAAGGCGTAAAAAGTCATAAAAATCGCATAGTATAGTAAGGTGTAAAAATGCCATAATATAATAAGGCGTAAAAAGTCATAAAAATCGCATAGTATAGTAAGGTGTAAAAATGCCATAATATAATAAGGCGTAAAAAGTCATAAAAATCGCATAGTATAGTAAGGTGTAAAAATGCCATAATATAATAAGGCGTAAAAAGTCATAAAAATCGCATAGTATAGTAAGGTGTAAAAATGCCATAATATAATAAGGCGTAAAAAGTCATAAAAATCGCATAGTATAGTAAGGTGTAAAAATGCCATAATATAATAAGGCGTAAAAAGTCATAAAAATCGCATAGTATAGTAAGGTGTAAAAATGCCATAATATAATAAGGCGTAAAAAGTCATAAAAATCGCATAGTATAGTAAGGTGTAAAAATGCCATAATATAATAAGGCGTAAAAAGTCATAAAAATCGCATAGTATAGTAAGGTGTAAAAATGCCATAATATAATAAGGCGTAAAAAGTCATAAAAATCGCATAGTATAGTAAGGTGTAAAAATGCCATAATATAATAAGGCGTAAAAAGTCATAAAAATCGCATAGTATAGTAAGGTGTAAAAATGCCATAATATAATAAGGCGTAAAAAGTCATAAAAATCGCATAGTATAGTAAGGTGTAAAAATGCCATAATATAATAAGGCGTAAAAAGTCATAAAAATCGCATAGTATAGTAAGGTGTAAAAATGCCATAATATAATAAGGCGTAAAAAGTCATAAAAATCGCATAGTATAGTAAGGTGTAAAAATGCCATAATATAATAAGGCGTAAAAAGTCATAAAAATCGCATAGTATAGTAAGGTGTAAAAATGCCATAATATAATAAGGCGTAAAAAGTCATAAAAATCGCATAGTATAGTAAGGTGTAAAAATGCCATAATATAATAAGGCGTAAAAAGTCATAAAAATCGCATAGTATAGTAAGGTGTAAAAATGCCATAATATAATAAGGCGTAAAAAGTCATA